AAGCAGTGGTATCAACGCAGAGTACTCCTTTTCTCAAGAAACCTCAAAAACTTCGGCAAAGCTTTTTATCTCGCCTATGTGAGGAAGGGAAATCCGGCTATCCACTAGCATCCTTTTCAAATTCACGGGCATGAGTTCCAGTAAATGTAAAGCCAATTATGTAACGCCAGATCGGCTTCTTTTGTCTTTTTTTGTAAAAAGGATTTTTGGGAGCACCGGTGCCAATAGAAAGACTGTTGGAGTACTTCGGTAGCAAATCAGGAATCTGCTAGAGATGAAATAAAATTTCAAAAAAGATACAGAAAGGAATCAGTCGTGTGTGACATGTATGTAAGTGGAAAAATAATGTAAAATTTCTTGCAGCTCGTAAAAATTTATATCGGTGTGAATACTTGTTAGAAATAATACGTTTTCAAAGCAATGGCTTCTCAAAAATGAACTTTTCGATCCATACACTTACTCATTATTCACCCACTGGTGTATTTATTTAGTCATGCTATACTTTCCTAATTAGGCCACAAAGATTGGGATAGAAGCATTATCAGGGTTCGGCACAGATGGCTTACAAGCAAGCTGAATATCGTTTTGGGACAAAAAGCAAAGAGGGTCTCGTTTTTGTGGCCGAAAAGACACAAAATTGGCGACGTTTTTTTAGCCGACGTTTCGTTCTTTGGAGATTTGTTAGAGATTATGGTCTAGGGTCGAAGGGGACTTCGTAAAAACTCGCAAAAGTCAAGGGGGACTTCGTTTTTTGCTTTTTTATCTAGTCACTTCGTGCCGAGCCCTGAGCATGATTACGATACCATTATGAGGGTTTCCTTGACACGACTGAAAGTGCATTGAAGAAACCGACAAATATTAATTTAGTATTGAAATTCGAATGTGCTACAAAGTTTTGGACAAATATCCCAAAAAATGAACTCGATGAGTTTGTACCCATGCCCTTCGTGCCAGCAAAAACTACCATGAAAGGGATTCTGAAAAAATCTATGTGCCGCCTGGAAGCTGTTAAAAGGCTTTCCGTATTCTCTTACTTGTTTAGCAAATCTCAGGTGCTATACAGCAATGCAAAGTGTCACAAAGACTGAAATTCCTGTTGATTGGAGCTTTCGTTAATCGTGCTTGTTTGTTCCTCGCATGATTGGATGTAGCTATTATCTATTTGTTCACGCTTACTTTCATCGTAGTCATTGTTTTGCTTACGTTCTCAGCCATGCTTTTCATGATTTTCTTTGGATTAAGATCTGCTTAGAAAAATCTAAATATTTTTCGTACTGTGTGTATCTAAGCTCTCAAGAATTTTTTTTTTTGGGGGGGGGGGGGCTTCGAACTCTTGAGTTTACTTGAATGTATGGCTTTCCTACCATGCATTATCTACATGTTTAAAATTCCTACTATCGCCTTTGGTCGGATCTTGACTGACTCTATTTCTTTATGCCACTTCTGCATGATGTTCTCAAAAGGTATGAATATGGATCATTTATGACAGAGACACCTTTGGCTCTCCCAGTTAGAGGCTATCATCTCTCAAAAGGACCGTCCAAGTATTGACCATGAACCTCGGTGGTCCGAAACCTGCAGCATAGATTGAAAGTGATAGACAGTCAAATCCCATCTGCTACTAAAGTCTCATCGGAATAGGAACGTGCTCCAGTAGTCCGCAAGGTTTTTGTTTTGTACTGTCTCAAAAACATAGGCTTTGCATGTTAGCAGAGCCATCAATAGTACATTTTCCAACTTTTACTAGCCTCACTTTTTGAATTTGATGTTTTGAATTTGATGACTTTTGTAGATCATTGGGTCCACATTCTTGATATGACTTTCTCTTGCTATTTCTTCGACTATCGAAGCTTCAAACGCAGTGATTCGCGACGAATACTAAGTTTAAACTGTATAACTTTATTTTTAGGATAGAGGCACGCGTAACATTCAAAGATTTTGTGTCGTTATCTTGTGGAGAGACGATTTTTGAATTGAAGGTTGCGGTTTAATACATTTATACCTTTTGTCACGTAAAGGAATCCAATAGAAATGCAATACAAAACCATGTCCTTCGGGATCCATGTCTAAAGTTCCTGGGGTTATAATAATATCTCGTTCCCTACCCCTCCTTCACTCCAATATGGCAACACATATGCCAACTTTTCGATGCGTCATGTAATAGGGATGAAGCAGTCGACTGAGGAGGCGAGAGGGGGGGGGGGACACTCCGCGAATGGTTTGGGAAATAAACGTGCCTGCCTACATGACTATGAAGTAGCGCAAGTCCCTTGTGTGTGTTTTTGAAAATTGAGATTTTTCAAAACTTTCTTGAAATTCAAATTAGCTTAAAATTTTTTTCGAGCCTGTGGCTAATGCCATGTCTCCTTCTTCTAATAAAAGAGGGCCACGAAGTCAAAGTGGCCGATCACTAAGACCGCATAACATCACTGAGAGATTGAAGCGCTGATTTTGAACCCGCTTCCCGTACCTGCAAGCACTTTTAGGGAAGGAGTTATGAGCATTTTTGAGGAAAAAAATCTGATTTGAATTCGGGGTAAAATCAATAGCTACAACCTCTCTAGATTTTAAATGAAACAGCGGCAATTGTGGCGACTTCGTGACCCCCTTGTAAGATTTCGGCGGTATAGGCTCGCGAAATATTTTTTAAAGCTCTTCTCACGCCCAATAATTTAGAAAAACTTTTCATTCTCGCATCTCCCCCCCCCCCCACTCCCAGAAAGAAGAGCACCATATAAAACAAGCTGTTTTACATATATGTAATTCTCATAGTTTTGTGCGGATTAGCAATCGACTCCAGATTTGTCGCTCACCACATTCAGTGTCACTTCCAATAGCAGAACGCTTTGGGCTTGCACACCCATTGCCTTCGCATGTTTACTGCTTTGGATGTGTTTTTTAGACGTTTTCCAAATCGCTCCATCTTGTAGATAAACGAGCCATCCTTGAATATGGCTCAGTGCACTCAGCATTGCCTTACATGCTATGGCATGGCTTTTTAGAATCAGTGTGCAACTTTTTGGCAGTGTGGATTAGGTCGCGACGATTTGTTTACGAAATTGTACTTCTTTACTTAGCTGTCGTTGTGCTTTTTTGTAATCTAGCAAAAGCAAGTCTCAGTTACAGTTCTGCATTTCTCTTCCATCGAACAGATCAATACATTATGGTCTCATACAGTATAAATTCTTTTACTTAGACAATTCACCGGAATTTCCGCAAGAGAAGCAAAATTTG